AATATTAGACTTTAATTGCCAGGTTTTCATGGCCCCATCTATTTCAAGCTTACAGTCCCTGGGTATCACTAAGACCTCACCTGATCACGGCTGCTTTACAGTCATCAGAAAATGTCTGTTAGCCAACAATTCCATCATTCTCTTTGGGAGCAGCAGAGCCAGGGCGCGGGTGAGGTGAGTGAGGCACTTGCTTTAAACACAAACATTAAGTTTACACTAAAACAAGATAGTACTTGGGGCCGGCCCGGTGGCGCACTGCTACAGTGTGCCGCTTGGGAACGCGGCGGCGCTCCCGCCGAGGGTTTGGATCCCACATACAGACCGGTTCCCGCTCACTGGCTGAGCGAGGTGTGGGAGCAACACCAAGGGTTGCGATCCCGTTGCCGGACACGAAAAAAGACAAAAAAAAAAAAAAACAAAAAAAAAACAAGATAGTACTTGAAACAATCTTTTCAAAATCAAAATTAATGCAAAAATACCTATGATAAACAAAATGTCAAAGTTTTAAATAAGGATAGGCTGCTGTCTGTTTGTTATATGACTCTGCATTGTTGTGCGATGGGATCAGTCCTATCCAATCGCCCTTAAGTTCCTGGCCTGGTGACACAGTCCGTGCCCACCAGCAGGAGGATCTGCTAGGGTTGATCCCACCAACAGCCTGTCAACAGATTGGGCAACAAGGGGCCTAATATATAGTCATGTTTTTGATTGTAAAGCTTTTATTAACTTTTCTACTTGGTTCAAAATATGAGACAATACTTTGGTTAGTGTATATTGGGTTGCACATTTTTCTTTTTCGTTTCAGTCTTCAATAAGGCTTGCATGGCAAGCAATGGGAACCAGGAGCAACGGGAACCATGAGTTTTAAAGTCCTCTGCCTCTAATACGGCAATCTGTATAAAAAGCCTTCAGAGTACTCACGTCCTTTGACCCAATTTTTCTATTTTTATGGATCTAGTTAAGTTTTACTATACATATTATAAAAGACAGTATAGCTATTAAAATACATTGTTATAAATGTGTATTTATTGACATGAAAAGATTTCTGCAATTTGTTGCCGAATGTCTAAAGCAGTTTACACAATATTATGTATGTGTAGCATGAGCCTATGCTTGTCTTAAATATATACATATGTATTCTTATGTATGTACACATATGAATACAGATAAAAGATAAGTGGATGATATATAGGAAGTGAGAAAGGGAAATAAGTAGGCAGACAGACTGTAGACTATATTTCTAGATGTTAACATTGCTTAATTCTGAATGGTAAACTGTGAATTATTTTTATCTTCTGTTTTCTTATTTATATTTTCTACCTTTCTACAATGAAATAGCATTATTTGGGTAATTAAAGAATAAAATTATTTTAAAATTCTTATGACAATTCCATGTGCTTCCATAGTCTGATCTTACATGATACAAGATCACCAGCAACATGTTTCTCCTGTATGGAGGCATCTCGCTGCATTGAAAATATACTTAGTAAGGTACCATCTGTGCCACTAAACATGCTGTAATTACCAACAATGACACATATCTGTAAGAAAACAAATCAGGGAACCAATCTTCTGGAAAATGTACATTCAAAATGTCCTTGCCACTTTAATAGTATTCTCCAAAAGCATTTAATGACATCATTCTCGTAGCTACAAGCCTGTCATTCCTGATGACTGTGAATTATTTCCCAGAAAGAAAGGACAAACTTGCAATTAGAAAAAAAGTAAATATATGACTGAAAGTGGTGGTGGAAATAGATTCAGGCCTTACCCATAAGACAGGCAGACATGGTTTTTAACTTCCTAGGAAAAATATTAGGCAAGAGCATTATTTGAAATTAAAGAAGCCCACATTTCTAATGCTCATTAGCTGATATTTAGCTAGAAGGGCCACCATTCATTAAGTTTTTTTATAGCCAGCTTAACAGAAGCTGTGTTTCCATGACAACAGACAATGTATGGGAAGGTAAAAAAAAAAGTAAATGGAACTTGTGGTCATCTTAATAATGCAGTATGGAAATCATTCATTAACATAGTTTTGCTGTTGTTTGGGCTTCCATGCCAACTGCAAAGCCAGCTTTCCTTGGGCTGGCCGATGTTTGGAATAATGCATTTTTGAGAGCTCCAAGTGCCCTTTGACCAGGTTATTGAGACAGAGAGTTTGGTAATCCTTCCCTGATTTATCTTATGAGCCGAATATGGAAAGGGACCACTGTAAAAAGAACGCTCATATCACCTCAGACTAACCAAGGAAAGTGCAGAATTGGTTAAGTAGCAGGCACAAGTTTTATTCTCATTCTCTTTTGGAATCCACAGCAGTAGGTTTGCTCATAAATTAAATGCTAATATGAAAAAAGGGAGGAATCAGTCTGCTTTCTATGTTTCTGACCTAAGCCACGGGGTACATAACGGTGGGGAAAAATGGAGGATCAGCAAAATGTGGGTAGAGTGATGGGAAAAAAGGAATCTATTTTAGAAGTCTCTTCATCTTCAAAGAGACTCAAATTGTATTATATCATAACTGAGTATTTTAGACCCAAATAAGACAGCTTGGTCAAATGACCTTATTTCATACTATTTGAAAGGATCATCTGCCAATGTTGAAGCCTTTTTCACTTGTCATCAACCTAGTTTTTATTTTCAAAGTAATCCAGATGTAGATGCTTTAAAATCAACAACTTGTGTTACTTTCTTAACAGAATTTAGAATCTATATGTTTCTGTATCTTAAATGGTCTATGCTTCCCAGTATCATCCTGCAAAATTTGTCACATTATTTTGTTTCAGTGTGAGGGCTGCAAGTGTCCTTGGTATGTCTTTTAGGATCATTACAAGCCTCTCTAATGTGTCTTTCTCACCTTTTAGATTCTATTAAGGAACCAAGACTTTATAAATCAAATAAAAATAGACGCCTGTAAGTTAAAAAAGATAAAGTCCCAAATCTGACACAAGTAGTAAGACCACTAAATATACCTATTAATATATGCTTAAAAGATCATGTGCTGTCATTTTCAGTGAATGTGAATGGAAAAATTTTAAAATTGTGCTTTGAAGAAGTTGAATTGTTCCAAGTCATAGGAACATTGCTTTGAGGTATAGACTTGGGAGAGAAATTAAAGCATTTATTCTACCAAAAAAAAAACTTTGAAGCAAAATAGAATTTCTAAAGCCAGATACCCTATGCAATCTGGCTCCAACCCATGGTTGGCCTTTCCCAACATGTTATGCCACATTTGATGAGACCATAATTAGATCATGGTTGAGTTATAGACACTTACTCCAATGTCTTCCATGAAAATCACACCAACTCAGAATGAAGTCAAACCCTTAAATTGTTTTAATGTTATTGATGCTTTCTGACCTTGTTTGTACTTGCTTCTTCCAGTGAAAACCCCCTTGATCCAGTAAGGAGTCATCCTTCATGTGACATTAGACATTAGCCTTCTGTGAAGCATTACTTAAGCACCAGCTCCACACAGAGCTGAGCAGAATTACCAAGGTATAGGTAGTACCTCCTAAGATGATCTTCATCATGTTGAGGGCTTTCTCTGACTCAGCTTACTCTTCCCAGACAGGTAACCCTATATGCAGATGAGTGTAGGAAGCTGAAGGGAGTCCCCTGGCCATGCTCATTCATGGGCACAGCATGACTTGTTAGGAATTTGTACCAAGATTGACTTAGGAAATTTAGGGAGGAATAAACAGCATAGACACTTCAGGATTTAGGGTCATTGCTTTGTTTCTTAGGGGATCTATTTACCTTCTAGCCGAAGGTATTTAGAAAACAGGAGCTGAAAGAAAATTTGAAAAGGACTAACAACAGATGTGCTAAATGTACATCTTTTCTTTATATACCAGCACCATCAGCAGGTACAATGATGATAACTAATCAAGAATATGATTGCTGCCTTGTGTGAGGATTGTAAATCCAACAGAAGTTCATAAGCTAAAAAAATAGAATGGACTGGTTCAATATTTGGGTTAAAATATATTATCTCAACAAAAGCCTAGAGGTTTCTAAGAGTTATGTACTTTTCTACAATATTTAATTTAGCAAAACCTGGGATAACATTCCATTGGATAAACTAAACTTCTCCTGAAACATGAAAATACTCTGAGATTATTTTATTAAAAGCAAGTCTTGGGCCGGCCCGGTGGCGCACTGCTACAGTGCACCGCTTGGGAGTGCGGTGGCGCTCCCGCCGAGGGTTCGGATCCCATGTACAGACCGAGTCCCGCTCACTGGCTGAGCGAGGTGTGGGAGCAACACCAAGGGTTGTGATCCCGTTGCCGGTCCCAGTCTGGTACGGGTGCGACACTGAGGGTTGTGATCCGTTGCCGGACACGAAAAAAGACAAAAAGGGAAAAAAAAAAAAAAAAAGCAAGTCTTATGCCTGTTAGGGGCTAAATTATGTTCATCCCCCCCCACCCAAAAAAAATTTTATATGTTGAGGTCCTAACCCCTATACTTCAGAATGTGATCTTATTTGGAAAGAGGGCCTTGGCAAAGGTAATCAAGTTAAAGGGAGGTCATTAGGGTGGGCCCTAATCTGACTGCTGTCTTCATATAAAAGGGGAATTTGGACATGAAAATACACACACAGGGAAAATGTGAACTGGCACACAGAGAAGCTGGTCATTTACATGCCAAGGAGAGGCCTGGAATAGATCCCTTCCTCACGGCCCTCAGAATGAACCAACCGTGCCAGCACCTTGATTTCAGACTTTTAGCCTCCAGAATTGTGAGACAAGTTTGTATTGTTTAAGCTACCCAGTCAATAGTACTTTGTTACAGAAGCCCTCACAAGCTAATACAGTGCTCAGCTATCTCACCAATGACTGGAGCCATTGGTTCTGACCAGGGAGCCTTAGGTTGCATCTATGTTTTTTATCAAGGTCACTGGTGTCAGACTGAGAGGCCAGGAAGAAGATGAAATGTAAAACCCTAATGTGCCAGACCAACCAACCAAAAGGTGGAACAGAAACACAGATCCATCGGAGTTTGATTACTCTCATGATTTATTAATATTCAGGTTGAAAAAGGAGCCTTAGAGCCGCAAGTTACGCTAATTGGCACATTTGCTTTATTTATTTATTTATTATTTATTTTATTTATTTATTTGTTTATTTATTTTTAAAACAAACTGGGTTTTTGGATTTTTTCTTTTTTGTTCATTCCATCACATTGAAAAGGAGGAAAACAAAAATGATTTTTAATTCACTCGATATTTTGGACTCCTCAGGTGAACGGAACATTGCACACACACTTGGAACAGAGAGAGAGGAAGGTGGACTCCCACAGGGCCACACGCACCAGCTCAGAAAACTTGGATACAGTGCAAGAATTTCCCAAAATGATTGGATCATCATTACCAAAAACTCGCCATAACAACACCAAGAAACAAAAAATGTTTAAGCCACACTGTTTGACTTGGGATCTTTCCTGCTTTTTTTTTTAAAATGTTTGCCACACAGAGAGAAAGAGGGCTTAGTGGGGGGTGGGGGGAGAGAAGACAGACTCACAGACGTGAGCAGGACAGGAAGGGAAGCTTCAGAGTGGAGTTGAGAATAGGGTGGGAGAGACAGGGTTCAGGAGAGGGGAGGTGGGGCCATGGAAAGCCATTTCTTAGAGTTCAGGCATGTTCTTGGTCAGCCTCGCGATCTTCTTCTTTACCCTCATCCTGCCGGGCACTTTCCTTAGGTTTGGTTTCATCTACAGCTTCTGAGAAAGAAAACAAGATGGGGTTGGGGGGAAGGAGAGTTAGTATTGCATCTCATCTGTTCATATGATGGTGCAAAGCGTTTCTTCTTTTCATATCATTACATAAGAGCTTTAAGACAAAAAGAGATTATTGCTATCCCAGTCATGTAATTTCCATGTTCAGAAGAGTTTACCTCCAGGAAGCTGTTCAGTAGCACATATGGAACAGCTCAGGAATAAAGGTATGATGTTAGGGGCAAGGAGTCCAGTAAACAGAAATTACTGTGGTCTTTAACCTCACAACCTTACAATCAAGGTATCCACACACAGGATCTTCACATAGGGAATCAACAACAATCTTGTACCTCTGTTCCATTAGTGTCAGAATGGCTGTGCTGGATCATTTATGTGAATCATTATCATCCATTCTAACTCTCTTATCCCATATTTCTAGTACTATAAAGACTGGAAAGTGAAATAGTTGAACTTCCAGCTCCTGTTAGAGCTAGAAGTGCCATATGAAACAATGCTGGTCAATTAGATAGAGACAGGATTCCCTGGAGAGGGCAGAGTTGGTTTTTGCCATTTGTATTCCCTTGTTACTAATAGCTGGGACATCAGACAATACCTGGTAGTGCAGCAGCTATCTGTGACCATGAAGACAAAAACTATACACTAAGGATGGTGGAGCACAAAGACAAGAAAAATCAAATAATCACTGAGTGACTGTACCACTCCTGGACACCTTTCCCTTAGGCTTCTTACTGTCTTTAAAGCACTGTAGTAGTTTTCAGTTTCTTGTAGCCAAGCACATTCCAACTGAATACACTTATCCATAGGGCAAGTATTGCTTTGCTTAACAAGGAGGACTTTGTGTCTTTCTGAAGAATGATTCCACCCCTTCCCCCAAACTTCCTTATTGAACTCAGTCAATTAATTTTATGCTACAAGACAGTTTACTAATGTGCCAGCTTATGGAAAGAAAATTCCTTTGCCCTGAAATTACCAGTGTTACTAGCCAATAAACTCCTTGTGTTGAGGGTATCCAAGAACACCCCTAGGGGTTCATAGATTTGCTAAGAGGACTCACAGGACTCAGCATACAATCCTAATTTATGTATAATTTATTACAGTGAAAGGACACAAAGTAAAATAAGCAAAGAGAAAAGTTTGCATGGCACAAAGTTTGAAGGAAATCAGACACAAGCTCCAAGAGTCCTCTCCCTGTGAAGTCATGCAGGATGCACTTAATTCTTCCAGCAATGAATTGTGACAACTCATGCAAAATGTCATCTACTAGGGAAGCTCACCTGAGCCTGCAAGTCCAGAGTTTGTATTGGCGACTGGTGATGTAGGCACCCTCTACCTATCACGAATGAAATCCAGACTCCCAGGAAGAAAACAGATGTTCAGCATAAACCACATTGTTTGCACAAAGATTTTAGGCAAGAGAACCACTTTTATCAGTTAGGGAATGGAGAGAACCCTCTCAAAATCCAAGTTTCCAGATGCCAGTCAAGGGTTAAGCTTACAAGCAGGCCTTTCTAAGGACAGCAGTCCCAGGCCTGACATGTTAACATTTTTCTGCACACTCCCTGATGTTGAAAATGCCTGTGTGCTTTAAAATGAGGCTATTGTTGCTATTTTTCCTCCTAACACCTACTAGCTGCTGATCTTTCTTGGAAAGATAAACTGGAGTCAATGGAATCTTGTTAGGCTAACAAATATGTATTTAATTTGAAGGTAATGGATAGGCTTTGAAAGCACTTGAACAAGGAAGTATAATGTGGCTATGTTTTAAGGAGATTAAACTAGCAATACTAAATAAAATGGATGTGGTGTTGGGAGGAGATGTTGAGATTAGAGAAATGGAGACCTTTTAGCAGACCCTCAGAAGAACTCATAAAAATGTATGTCTCTTTCAAATCAGTCAGCTATATATTTATATTCAGATAAAGCTGAACATTTATATCCAAATAAGACCACCGCTGTTAAACACATTTTTGGAATCCTTCTTTGGAACACCTATCAAATAACATTCTTTTAAATCTCTTTATTAATAGAATATGATTATTTTCTTGTAAATAGATTTAGTTTTTAGAATCAAACTAGGCTGGTCTGGTAAATAAAGTAAGCAGCTACAATGACTAATTTTACCTTACAAGTACTCAGTTTTGACCAGAGTTTTTAAAGTCTGATTTATTTTGTGGGATTCGTAACTCACTGTAAGCTATTTCCAATATGTAGCTATTCTAGTGATGCTACCTATTACTACTCATAAAGATTTTTTTAAGACTGTGGCTTTCTAAGGTAACCATTATTAAGTCTTGAAAATTCAGCACACCAATCCAAGTTTTTGTATGAAATTAGTTCAATTCTGGTCACTGTAATACTCTATGTATCAGCAGTATTCCTCACAGATTACAGAACTTTGGTGTGCTAACGAATCACTTAATTTTCTGCCAGAAGAAACTTCCAGATTTATTCCAGTGAGGTTCTTCTATAGAAATCTGTAATCCTTTCAGAGAATTTGCTTAGTGCCCTATCTGTGCCCAAACCTTTGAATATCACAAATATGCCCAAGGTGTCTTACTATCCTTATCAGCTCCAAGAAACAACATTTTTAGTGCCCTCTTCAAACTGCAAAAGAAACATAATATTGATTCAAACTGCCCAGAAGCATATAGAAGAATCAGTTGTAGGAGCAAGGAAAGACTACAAATATCTCCTACTAAAATAAAAACTTGGGAGCTATTATGTATGATTTGAGGGAGATTTGGAAACTCAAGAGAAAAGAGTAAGTAGTCTGGGTAAGGTGAGAATTATAGATTTGTGGAATAAAGTTGAGAAACAAAACTCAAAATGGGAGAAACAAAAACACAAAGATTCTGATGATACTGACATGCAGTCATGCTTTCTGCCCCTTGTTGGAGTAGAATCAGGTTAAATCTTTCCAAATTCCCCTACTTTCTCTTGTCATCCATATCTGTGGGGTACAGAGCTGAATATCAATATCTGTGTGTAATATGTGATGCTCAAATCAGGATAATTAGTATATTCAACATTACACAAATGTAACCACTTTTCGTGGCCCTTTACCAATTTGCCTGGGCCTAGGACAAAAGGTAAAATTTGGCACAAATCTGCTTATAATGACAGGAAGTCATTGCTGTCTATTCCCTATTAAGAGAACTTCAGTACCTATGTATTCTTTCCATTAAATGCTTCAAAGTATTTTAAATATAATTATTTATTCATTTATTTGTTTGGTAAGTTGTTTTTGAGCACCTGAAATGTGCCAGGTGTTCTCCTAGACATGGAGAAGAATCAATTAAAAAAAACAGCAAATATCCTTGCTCTGACCGAAGCCTTTCATAATATACCTTTAACAGACAATAAAGTTCATAATCATAGAATTTAAGCAATGAGAGAGACCTTTAAGCTCATCCAACAGGAGAGAGGGAAGGGGAAAAGGGAAGAATTCATAAAAGGCCATGAAAATCAACTACGTTGAAAAAAAATAAATTAAATAAATAAATAACAAAGAGATCATCTGGTCAGTAAACCATAAACGCTCCAAGGGTGACAACAATATCTACTTTTGCTCCACTTTGAATCTCTAGTGTCCAGCACAGGACCTAATACAGGGAAGGCCCTCAACAAATATCTGTTGAGTGAAAGAATAAATGGACATCCTCATTTTACAGATGATGAAACTGAAGTCCACGTACAAAAGAGACTTTTCCAAAATCATATGGTTCCCTCATGACCAAACCAGGACTAAAACCCAGGTCTTCTACTTGCCCCAGTTTTCCCATTATATCAGGTGGCCAAACTCAAGCAGTGTAGGTAAAGGTCAAACCTGTTTTTTCAATTTGGCACTAGAAACTAAGTAACTACAGTTTACTGCTTTTAGTGACCTCTTGAGCTTGTGAAATTAAACAATTGTTGGCTTCAAAATGTAAAATAAAACCCATGAAATTAAAATTGATGAGCTTCAATTAGATTACTACAAAAGGAAATATTAGTCTCATTGAAACTCAATTCAGCTGAACACATACAATCACATGTTTTTTATTGGGTATGAGATGAGAGCAATTTTTTATAGTCATTCCCCACATAATGATGTTTCAATGACAGACAGCATATACAACAGTGGTCCCATAACATTATAATGGTTATACTCTATAGCCTAAGTGTGTAGTAGGCTATACCATCTAGGTTCGTGTAAGTACACTCTATGATGTTTGCACAATGACAAAATCACCTAACAATGCATTTCTCAGAATGCATCCCCATTGTTAAGTGGCACATGACTGTACTTGGTATTACTGAATATTGCACAAAGTGGTTATCTTTGTTTTAGATGAAGGGATGACTGGTTAGCAGAAATAAAATGGGTCAAGTCAGTGGATTCAGTGAAATTTTTATAGGCCACCAAGAAAGTATAGGGTAAAAAACAAAATATAAAGGGAGAAAACAATGTAAAGTAACAATAGTTCACAACCCACAAAAATGAATTAAGGAAAGAACTTATAATAATATACTTTTTTAAAACCTATCTGCAAATGAAGAAAACAATATTCAGATGCATGCCATTCACCTGCTCTAGCTAGATCCACTTTGATGGGAGACTGCATATTAGTTTGGAAAAGATTTTAACCTCAGACAAAGGGGAACTTGTTATACACAGAATCTAAATTTCATATAAATGGGTCCATTTAAGACTGAATGCCAGAGAGAACTTCTTAATATTGCTGACTTGTTCTTTCTCTCACTGATGCTAACCCCAGACAAATCACTGTAGTCAATAAATCATGTTGACCATATAGTTGTATATCTACATTTTATAACCTATTCTATTCATCAGTATCATTGCCTTGAAAGAACTATGAATTATGACTTTCTTGGGCCTTTAAATAAAGTATCTAGTTATTGCCAACATTTTTGAGCTTTTACTATGTGCTTAGAACAGTCCTTGTATCATTTCATGTAATCATCACAGCTACTTTATTATATTT